TGGTTTCGTTTTTCGTTTGGCAGCATGTGTAGGTAGCGGGTCTTTTCCCTCCCACACCACTCCTCCCCACTACCACCCGAATTCATGAGCTCGATCTCTTTTTTCCTTGCCAGTGTTTTGACATGCCATCTGATAAGGGCTCTGCGGCTTCTCACCTGCGTGCCTCTTTTTTTATACTCACTTCTTCTATGCAGGGTAGCCTGGACTACTGAAACTCTGCAGCGGTTAATAACATAAAGAAATCGCTCCTCTACCAACCGGTAGTCATCCTTTTTGAACCGTCTTTATGCTTACCTTTTTAGCTGGCAAGTCGAGTGATAATCAAAATGTCTGACCTGAACCCGGATAACTTCAACCGCCTCATTCAACAGATTCCCCGTACTCAGCAAGAGCAAGCCTCGAAACTGCTGAAGACCTACCAGAAAACAAGCACGGCAGGAGGCTCTGCACTGGCTTCTGACAGTGCCTCTTATACAGGGGCGTCAGGTCCGAATTCCACAACTGGAACCAATTGGTTTTCAAAGTACGCCTTTTTTTACCTTTTCCCTGGCAATTGGCGGCTCATTTATTTCCGCCTGATTGGTGTTTGTGCATGTTACTGTTAGCATATTCGATTATCCTCGCGCCTCGTGGCTGTCAATCTGGTCTGATTTCCGAGATGCCCAGAGGCTATATGCTCTGTAAATTTTTACAGAGTTCTTGACGCCGATGCGAATCATTTTCCGGACTGAGTTATAGCTGGTAGGGTACGCACCACTTGGTCTTTACCAGTTAGGTTTGGTCTATCTACTGACTGTTTGGCCTCGTTATACAGGACTGAGATGTAGAAACTGCGGATACCATTCGTCCGGACTTGCAAACGACCCGGGAGATCTTGATTGTCCGTGTTTTCTCAGCTAGCATATTCTTACATTGGAAGTTTGGTGTTGGGTCCACCGTGTGCTCCACAACATGGTGCTGCGGGGATGGTGACTTGCACACTCCTTCTTACCTCACTCACTCATGTCTGGTATCAACACAGAGTCAAGAAGATCAGGGGTGGGATCGGCGCAGGTGGCTGGCGCGTCGTGGGTCTGCACATACTCGTGTTCCCACACCAACCCCATGTTTGGCATTTGTTAGGGTAACGCAACCCGCATAGCGCCTGCCGTGCCCTGATCTAGCTCCCATGTCCAGCCCGTTTAGGGGCACAATCTTCCTATACCAGTGAAAAGATGACCTGCAAAGAAAGTTTTAGAACATACAGGGAGCTTTCCATTCACGGCCCGTTAATTGTTAATTCGTAAGATAATTTTAATGCCCGAACCTATCATGTACAAGAAAAATGAAACCAGATCACGTTATTTTTATTAGGGAAGCTATTTGAATTGCCAAAATATGTTGCAAGTTTCCGTAAATTTTTCCAATAAACTTTGACAGGTAATAAGGTTGTGCTTCCCTAAAAGTGTCCTGGAAGCGAATACCTGGCGATTCATTATGTAGCTACGGGGCTGTCCCTTTATCTGGACCCCCGCCATTTCTGTTCAAAAAGCGCTAAAACGAGTGAGGCCTTGAAAACGGAATTTGCCCTTTGACGGTGCTCAAATGACTAGCCGTTAAGTTTGTGTGTACTAACTTCAGCAGACTTGAGGACAATCGATTAGACAGTCCTCTCACGTGCACTCATAGGTCACTTTAAACACAACCCCCTAACGGACCCTATGCACACTTGTCAGTCCTGAAGCGATTGCGATCAGAGCAAGCTCCTGACGTGCGTTATGCCTTTTTCTGTACGGTTTTCTTCGTACACAACTCCATTAATGGACAACATGCTTTATATGTATGCTTGTTTTAAACAGCCTTATTGATGCTTTTGTGCCTGCCTGCATGCATCCAAATTACTATTTCTTACTTTACTGTTTCCTCCCTTTCCCTATACCACTGGTTGGTCACGCTGATGATTACTCAAATATGTCGTTTTCTACTTCAAACGTGACGTTGTTTTTATGTGTTTCGGTTCCGTTCACGAACGTACACCATTGATTCACCTCGTGTGTCTTATATTTTATGCCTTTCACTCCGACCCGTTCCCCACCCTACCGTATAGATTCGGCGGTGTGCGTCGAGCCTTCTCAGTGAGACAACCTAAGGGGCCTAAATCGCCCGGAAGGTATGCTATTGCGGTGCTGGGTGTTTAAGTTGTCAGAAGCATCTCACATTTCTGCCGCCTCTAACCAAAAGGGTTTTTGTTTTGGTTTGGTGCTTCCAGTTAACCCCCCCC